TCCTGTAGTGTTGTGGGCAGGACGAAAGCCAGATTAGTAATGTAGCAAAAGCCAAACTAATCCTTGAGAGCTGAGTCTTCTTGGCCATGTGTAAATAGGCTGTGTGCAGAGCACATTGCAGATGTGTGGGCAAGCAGACTGCAAAACACAGTGCTGTCAATTAAAGCTGCAGAACTTGAGGGCTTCAATGTTTCTCAGGCAGCCTTTATCCAGAGCCAGAGGGCTTCTGTAATTTCATTTGCTCCTGCTTCCTCCTGAGGGATGGCTTTCTTTAAAGAAAATTAAGGTAAGAGAGAGATAAGGCCTGACTGAAGAGACCAGAGGGATCAGTCTGTTGAACTTGGTGCCTAAAGGGAGGGAATTCACAGTCAGGTATCCTGCAGGGTAGAGAGAGGCAACAATTCTTATTTGAAAATAACAGAGGCAGCTGCACTCAAAAGACTGTAGCAGTTGCATTTACTTGTAAATTATCCCTATACCAGGAAAATCCACCTGCTAATGAGTAGCTATGGACTCTTCACTGTTTTTTGATGGTGATGTTCTGTTTTTTCTAATTCTTTTCCTGATACACTTCTCTAGAAGAGCACATAATAATTATGAATTATTATCGTGTAGCACTCTTCTTATCCAACAGCAAATTCAGCCAGGATAGTGTCAAACAAAGTTGCAAGCTATTTCTCATTTAGGAAAATAAGAGTTTTCTCTATTCCTGCTACAGGAAAATGTTGTCATATCTCAGCTGATGGCATACACTGTTCTAGATGTAATGATCTTCTTTGGTTATAATGGTGATGAACCACTATGCAATCATGTGCCAGTTTTTGACTGCACCTGTTTGCAAACTCAGGTAATTATGCTCCGTTGTCTAATTGCTTATTTTATGGATGTTTTGCTTACATGTTTTTAAGCAATGGCATTTGATTGCAGATAACTAATGGTAGGGATCTCTTCTCGTTATCATACTTTAACATTTGATTTATCTGATTGCTGCAGGTGGAAACAATAGGTGATGCGTACTGCGTTGCGGCAGGGCTCCATAAGAAGAGCCTTAGTCATGCTAAAGCCATTGCCCTTATGGCACTGAAGATGATGGAGCTTTCAGAAGAGGTTCTCACTCCAGATGGGAGCCCTATTAAGGTAACCCTTTTGCTTTTTATTCTCAGCTAGTCAGTGGAACATGAATCTGATTGATTCCATCGTGTTCTGTCAGTAGAAATCTGTTTATTGCTAGGAGAATTTAAAATTGCATCAATATATCACAGTCTTTTTTATGGACATCTATTTCACTGGTGCCTATCGACAATCGTGTAATCTATTCTTTACTTTAGTACGCACAGTAGACCACACAGACTAGCTTTCACCTTGTCAAATGCCTGTTTGTGGCTGGAGGGCATTAGATGCACTCCTGGAGCGGTTCTTCCAATTCAGTTTAGTGTGAGAAGACAGTTCCCATGATCCAGGACTGTCCCATGCTACAAGCCAAAGCACAGTATGCGATTGCAATTGGGAAATTCATTTCAGAAGTAGGCTCCTGCTCTGTACTTCAGCACTAGTGTAGAGGCACTCAGAGAGTTCTGCAGCTCTGAGGGGCCACATATCTCTTTTCTAAATAGTTGTTGACCCGTATTAAAGAAGGATATGTAGACTGCCTGCTTTTCCTCAGTGTTAATGTGCTTCCTTCCCACACAATTCCAGTTCCTTCTCCTAGATGGGTAGAAGAGGCAGCAAAAGATGGAAAACCACAAGTCCTCTTGTACCATTTTGAAGTTCCACTGCTACTCTGCTTCTCTTGGTCTTATACCAAGCTGTAGCTGCTGGCATTTAGAATTGGTAATGTTTAGGTAGAAGATGGAGGTTGAGCAGAGAAGAAAACCATGGAAATAGATATGTCTTTCTTTTTTCAAAGGTTAGATTACACGTTGTTTTCATTATATGTGCTCACTCCTGTTTCTCGTTAAATTGTTCTTCCCATAATACAAACCTTTTGTTTTCAAAGAAAATGGGAGGATTATGTAGAACAATCATTCAACACTGTCTAAAACCTATAACAAAAGCCATGTGTGGCTGGATGAGAAGGCCAGACAGACTTCCCATGGGATGATTTACATCATGATTGAAATGCACTTTGTAAACTGCAGTTCCTCATGTCTGTTAAAAAATGATGGCTGCATCTGAAATGCTTCTTTTCTTCTTTTCTTTTTTTTAAAAACAAAAAAACTTGAAAGACCTGTTTTGAAAGTTTAAAATTTGACAGAAAGAGGTAAAATTTTTCAAAATGTATTCAAGGATGTTGCTGTGATGCTCCTTGAGCAGTAAAATAGTGTGCTTCTGGGTTCAAAGTCTTCTCTATTTATTAGTTAGTTCATATCATAAACTATATCCTTTGAACTCTTTGTGTATGGTGAATCGAAAGAGATCTCATCCAAATGAAATGTTCTGCCCAGAAAGAAGAGTGTGGATGCAAGGTGATCAAACTAGAAATTCCATGAAATATGGTAACGCAAAAGTCAAATGAAAATATATTGAGTTCTGGATGAAGTATTTTTATTTTCAATTATCAATGCTGCTGCTGATTTTTTCTAAATGTTAAAATAAAATATTTATTTGATTATTGAAAAATGTCCACATACTCAAAAGAATAACTTTCTGAAAAAATATCTTGGACTATGGATGTTGAAGAAAATATTTTTAAAGCTTCATGTGGACATTCATCAAACACAGAATAAGCATTAAGAGACAAGTGTTTTCTGAAGATATCAGAAGACAGCATATTCAGTTTTAATATGAGTGTTTCAAGCAGGTATTAGTTTAATCCTATTAAAATATATTTTCTAGATTGTTTGATGATTCCTCTATTTTTCCAGTGACTATGGCTGATTAATACATTCTAGCTACGCTGTCACATGCTGGGAGACCAAATCTTCTCTGTCTTTTCACTTTCTCTTGAGTGATTGCTGCAATTGCAGGAAAATTTTAGAGGTGTGTGTTTTACTCCTAGAGTCACAGTTTGTGACTGTTTTCATTACCACTGCCATTATTTTTCAGAAAATTCCTCGTGATTTCAGTGGCTGCATAAGAAAACTTACGAAAGAAAGGCTATAAAGACAGTGCAGAGTAAAAATGCTTGCATAGAATAAAATGCTAGGAATAACCAAACTTCCAAAAAGTGCTAATAAACCTGCTTTAGAATTCAGAAGAGAAAAGTCAATTCATCATACTTAAACTAAAAGTAGAGGTACTGAGAAGCTCCTCAGTGGGTGTTAGTTGTCCTGTCTTTGTTTTAGGTGTAATAGATTTCAGGATAGGAAGATGGTGATACCAACTAATCTCACCTCCAAAAGCTGTGGAATGTTGTTGTTAACCTTGCACCTAACCTGGTAAATCATGTTTAAAAAAGCTTCTCTCATAGAGGCATCTTGATTTGGTTTAAAATATAGTAAGGTTAGGATTTCTCTCACATGGATGTCTACCCTGTAAAACAATTGATAATGATTTTTGGAGAAGTCTACTTTGATTTGACCTAGTTTAGGTGTCTACTTTAGGATGAGATAAATCACGCCCTAAAAATGTGAATTTTTTCAGTTGTCTGTAAGGAAGGTCTGTGGATTTAGCCTAAATGTGAATGTCTACACTGTGAACTTCTACACTTTGTCAGATGAATCCTCCTACAAATGGCAAAGAATGCATAGTTTTTCTTAGTGGTTATGTCAATGATCATCACAGATAAAAACATATGCATTATTTCTAAATTGTGTTGGCATGACTTTACCTTCCAGCCAATGCTGAATTGGCTAGAGTATTCCTTGTTTTTGTTAGTTACCAGTTTTTCATGTAAAAAACCATGAAGGTGCCCATTGTGCCAGATGTTCCCATTAAGAAATGCTCCATGTGTATAATAATGTCTTAAAGCTGCGTCAGGGGTAGTTCAGATTTGATATTAGGATTGGATTGGATTATTTGTATTAGAAAAAGTGGTCAAGCACTGGAACGAGCTCCCTAGAGAAGTGGTCATGGTCTCTAGCCTGTTGATGTTCAAGTGTTTGGACAAGACTCTTAGGTTTAAATTCTAGGTTGCTTGCGTGGAGTCAGGTGTTGGACTTGATCGTCCTCATAGGTCCCTTCCAACTCATGATTCTATGGTCCTATAATCTACCTGAAGTTTAAGGAACCCATAGGTATGTGTAACAGTTACTATGGACTCAGCTCAGAACCATTAATAGGAGACTTACTGCATGGCGCATATTACAATTAAGGTTTGCCATCAAAATATTTAAATATTCGTAAACATTAAATACAAAGTACACAAGGTAGGCTATAAGACATTTATAAGTAGCCTGACTTCTAAACAGTGAATTAAATTATACTATAATGCGGTTACTTTGAGTTGGTCCTTTCGATAACGGATGGCAAAAAAAGGTGCAGTATTTTAACTATATTTTGACCTTAATTCTTATGCGTGGTTCATGTTACCAAGCACAAGTCATGTTTCCTGAGTCTGTGCCAAGTGTGTTGAATATAGAATGCTGATGCAGCTTTTCTTGTCTTGTATTGAAAAACCTACATCAGTATTTGGATATTTGAAAAAAAACTTGAAATCAGAGGGCAGTTTTTCTCATGCTGGACTTTTGATATATTTGACAGCTTTCATGTGTTTTTGTGACTAAATTCCAACTTTATTCTTCAGGGTAGTCTAGTAGCTATTTTGAAAAAGTAAGACAATTGCTTCACAAAGTCCAAGACAATATTTTAAAACATAAATCTTAAAGATAAGGGACCTTCTGATCTCAGGAGTAAACAAGTGTTCTGTTTTCTCCCTGCCCTCACCTCCCCAAACTGGCTGATAAACCTTGATTAAATAGGAAGAAATTATTCTCAGTCACTTCCTATAATATGTGACAGCACAGTTATTTGAAGTTGGATTTCTGTTAGTAAGCTAACAATTACAGCACAGTTATTCTATTCTGATTATGTTGTCTAGTAAGAAGCAAACATGCTGAAGTCACCTGATGTTTGCAGGGGATTTCTTTTCCAGAGGTATATCTCTTGTTTAAGCTCTCTGAAGTTAGCACTGGAAACCACAAATTCAGAAGTTATTCCCCACGTTTGTGAGGTGTGACTGATTTTAAGAGGCTAATTACTTAGGAGGTGATGTTTTTTTCAGGCAGAGTCATTATGAATCTGTTGGAGTTGTCCTGGTTGCAGAGATTTCAGCTCTAGGGAAACCTCACTGCAATTATGAAATGTAGCACTTTTTATTTGATGAATACTCAATTAGACATGTCTGGCTTTATGATTATGGTTTATGGAATATATATATTTTCTAAATTACTTTGATGGATATGTTTTGTTGTCATCTCAGGACTGAATTCACCAGAATGCGAATATTTACTTTTTGTAGTGCTTGAAATGTTCATCCCTGTGATAGCAGCGAATATCTTACTGAATGTCCTAGTTTTAGCTGGGACAGGGGTTTTTTTTAACAGCCAGAAGAGCTCCGTGTTTTGGTTTTACTCAGAGGCTCACTCTGAGAAGAATGTTGATAGCAAGCTGATGTTTGTGGTTGGAAGTGAAACTCCAAGGACTTTTCAGTGTGCCGGAGCGCAGGAACACGGTGGGACAAGGGGGACACGATTCCCCTTGTGATTTGTGGTGGAACTTAAGGTTGAGGGCCAAACTGGCCAATTAGTATTCCATATCATGCAGCGTCATGCCCAGTATAAAAGCGAGGGTCAGCCGGGAAGAAGGGCTTTTGCGCTTTGGCTCTTTTGCACTTTTACTCTTCTGCGCTTGCTGCGCTGTTGCTCTGCTGTTTTTCTTTCTTTTCTCTCTCTCTCTCTCTGCCCCTCTCTATTTTGGGGCCTCGCGTTCGTCCGGGATTGCAGCTTCGAGATGAGACGGGCTTTGCATACGAGGGGGTGGTGAGCATCTACACTGTGTATTAAATCATCTGTATTAAATCATTCTTATCTCAACCCACGGGTTTCCCGTTTATCCTTTAATTCTCTCCCTCATTCCTGGGGGTGGGGGAGGGGGAGTGACCGGCTGTGTGGGGGAGGAAGTTTTCAACCTAACCCACGACACTGAATGACGCTCAGAGTCTCAGAGAGAGACTCAGGCAAGTAGAATTATGGAATCAT